AACATCTATGTGACACCGATATGCGAAATTCTCTTAGTTGTGTGCATAATGCGTCTAATTCATTAACATGAAACATCCACTCTCGTTGTACTATTGTATAATATTTTTTTAGATTGAAAAACCTACTCTTGTAATCATCGTTTCGCTCTTTTAACAACCAAACCCGTTTACGACTGCGATTGTTATAAACTATAGATCCTCTTGATGTAGACATAATGTTCAATGTATGTCATATCAACCACGTATAAGATGTTTATATAGTGGTCTCAATAGATAATTGTATATTATCAGGGTTATATCAACAATAGAAATGAAATTCAATTTTATGCATATAGATCTGCAAATCTTGAATGATCAAATTTTAGGTCCTTTTAAAAATTCAATTATCATATTATATTCTCCTTTATATTTAAGTTTGTCTTTTTTTAACTTTGAATTTATTTGTTGAAATGATTTGTATCAAATCAAACTTTTTACTCAAATATTGACTCAAATTAAAGTAAAAATTTGAATCCAGTTTAAAGATGACCTAAGGTGGGTGGTTCGAGTTTTGGGTGGAAATTGGTCTCAATTTGGTTTTGCTCCCCTCCATGAACGGAGCCACCCGTGGGTTGATGTGAGTACATGTCAACTCTCAAATTTTCTTTTCTTGATATATATATATATATACATTAAAATAAAATTTAAACATATTTAATTGTGTACACCCTATTATTGTGTTTTGGTGATATCAATTTGGATAAACCCTTATCTAAATGATTATTAACTTTCGAATAATGTTATTTAGACCTAATGCATTGTAATATTAAGTTTCAATATTTAATAAACTTCATTATAAATCCAATGGTTACAAATCAATGGGTCTTAAATGCAACAAACATTATTCTTAATTTTGAACCAACGTATCCAAATAAATTTTGGATATATTGAGGTTATTTTATAGTTTTTTTCTAACATTGAAGGGTTATTTTGTTATTGTATAAAAATGAGTGTCATTATGTAGTAAATTATAGGATCATAAATATAAGATTATTACCACAATTTTATATATCTATATAATAAAGTAGCTTACAATTTAAATCTCAAATGATAAACAAAATGACTTTTGCTATTCGCGGTTGAAATCACTTTAAATGTTACTTTAAAATTAATCTAACGACTAATATTAATACCATAAATTTAATAAGAAAAATAGATCCATAAGGATGTGTTTGAATTAACTTTTTAAAAGTACTTTTATAAATTATTTCTCATAAATACTTTTAAAAAAATAGTGTTTGAAACCACCTCATCACTACCTCTACCACCACTACTCCCACCATTGCCGCCACCACCACCACCACCACAGTTATTTCCATCCACCACAACTATCACCGTCTCCTACCATCACCACTACCATCCTCCAGCTCTCACCATCACTACAACCAATGCTTAAATTCATTTATTTTTTTCTTTTTAAATATAAATACAAATATATTTATTGCTTACTATTTTTTATTATTTTATGCCTTCAACCACAGCCAATAACTAATATATATATAAATTATTTGTTGATAAGGTTGATTTGTAATTCTTTCAAATGATAAAAGCACACAAGGGTCAATTATAAGTGATAATAATTATTCTTATTTTTGATAAGAAATTTTAATTATTTTTTATTTGTCTATGATATATATATATATATATATATATATCAATTTTAACCTTTTATGTTTAATAAACTTTTAAGTATTAAATATGAATTTAAGATCAATTGAAAAAAAAAAATTTAAAAACGTATTAATATGCCCACCCTAAAACTTTTTTCTGGTTTCGCCCTTGTTCCCCTCCAATTCAAAATAATGGAGGAATGTTCTATATTTTTTTTATACTGAGAAATGTGCATGTAAGCAAATTTCATCTTAACTTTCCTGATATGGACAGATATTAATCACTCAAAAAATATATATATAATTTACCATTTATTTAATAATCGGAGGGTATCCCTTCTCAGATGTGCAATTAAGAAACTAGAGGGATCAATTGTGTCCCATCTCTTTTATGCAACTAATGGGAGTTTAATTCTCCTCATACTATTTTGTTTTTTTGAAAAAAAAATTATTCAAATATCATAGTTTTAAATTTCTTTTTCAAATACTATTTTTTTTAAAAAATATTTTTTTAAAAAAAATACTTTTCAAGTTTTTTTAAACAAAGTTTTGATGATAAAATGGTCTCGTAATTGGAAAAAACATTAAAAAAAATGGAATAAACATACAAAGAAAGTGTCAAAATAACATGTCTCATAGCCTTTTACTTGGAAAAACCATACAATTACTTGGAAAAAACATACAAAGAAAGTGTCAAAATAACGTGTTTCATAGCCTTTTAAATGAAAAAAAACATACGAAGAGTGTCAAAATAACGTGTTCCATAGTCTTTTACTTGAAAAAAAATACAATTACTTGGAAACAAACATACAAAGAAAGTGTTAGAATAACTTGTTCCATAGCCTTTTACTTGGGAAAAACATACGCAGAAAGGGTCAAAATAACTTGTTCAATAACCTTTTAATTGGAAAAAACATACAAAGAAAGTATCAAAATAACTTGGAAAAAACATACGAAGAAAGTGTCAAAATAACGTGTTTCATAGCCTTTTACTTGGAAAAAAAACATACAATTACTTGGAAAAACACATACAAAGAATGTGTCAAAATAACGTGCTTCATAGCCTTTTACTTGGAGTTTACAATATTATTGGACCATGTAACTACTAAGTCAGTATATTAAGTCATTTTTTTAGATTTCAATAGGCTTACTATTTATATGAAAGTGATAGAATGCACACACAAAGTATATTTTATATATATTCATTAGAATTGTCTACAGTACTGGAAAAAAAAATTTGGTACCGTACTAATAGTTACTACATTTGTAAGTGTTTTTATTACTGTTGTTAGTGTTTTTACCGTTGTTTTGATACCGAAAAAAGTGATATAAATAGTTTTCAAAACAACCGGTGGTGAAGCCATGTTATGGCCCAATGGGACCATGATCCCTCTCAATATTTTGAATTAGACATTATACCTTATAATTATGCTTTGATTATATTTTATATATCACTGAACTTCTTAAAACTATAATTTATACATTGAGTTATAATCTTGATTTTATTTTGTGCTCTCATCTATTGATTAGACCATGTTAAACCATTAACTATTAAAATTGTAACATTTTACATAAATCGTTAAATTTTGGTATTGTAAATTTAAAAATTTTATATTATTGTAAATTATTAATAGTGCAATTGATTTGCCTTTTTATGTCTAATAATTCAACTAGTTTCGATTAACTTTATTCATTTAATTGAAAATAATAATTATACTATACCGTGGGAGATTAATTCTTATAAATTATATGCATGTAAATGTCATAACCGTAATGATCTAATTGAATGATCCACATTGAGTACAAACTATATTGTTTTACCACTATTTGACCCCCTCAAGAGAAAATCTAGCTTACTCTTTATCACAACAATTATAAAAATACCCACAAAAATGATAAAAAAAAATTTAATTATAAAATAGCCCACAAAATTATAAAAATATCTATTAAAATAATAAATTTTAGAGGTACGATACTGAATATTTTTCCCTAGTACCATAGTAACCAGTAAGTCCTATATTCATACGTATATATTAACTAGTAGTACGATTTGTACAATTATTTGTGGAAGTGGAACGCGATATTCATTCATTATGGGTACAATTTGAACATGAAAAAATGGGTCAAGGGACGAATGTTCTTAAATCATATAAAAAAAAAGAATTATTTTATAAACTGCAACAAGAAAATTTTATACCGAATAATCTAATTATGTTATATGTTGTTGTTAACACGCTTCAATCTATATGACCAATTGACATAATCAATAAGAAGGTTAAGAATAGCTTCATAGATATGATAGAAACGGAGGAGACATTGGCAGATATCGAAAATGACATACTCTATTCACGAGTGTTAGAAGACTTAAAGGCTCAATTGAACCTACAATGAACAAGACTTACACAGATGAAGCAATATTTTTTAGGTAAAAATTATTTCACTATGTTTTTATTATTTGAATGTGGATAAAAAAAATGTATGCTTTTAGAGAATGAATAAACACCTAACTGTACAAGTCGTATCTTTTGAGAATCGGTTAAATTTTTGATAGTTATATTTAGTCATTTGATAACATCTACAGATTTAGTTTATTTGTAAGAGTATTGTTTTAATTTTAATTTTATTATTTATGAATTCTATTATTATTTAAATAAAGTTGATTATGAATGTTGAAATCGTAGATTTTGAATCAAAAACAAAACATTGAATATTGTCAACTGATATATTTTTTTAGATGTTTGAATTATTATATTTCGACAGTTATAACATAATTTTTGTGGCGTAACAATTTAATGTAAAAATATATGTTATGCATGTAGGTCGATGTTATAAAAAATATTAGTAGACTCATCTTTTTCATCATTTACTACAATTTTGTATTTTATTTTACATTTATGTGTGGACAAATATTTATAACTAATTTACAAGTAATACCGTACTTTCAGATGCGAGCAATTGCTAATACATATATATTATAAAAAAACGACCATACCCTTTTGTTAGGATGTTAGGATAGCAAGGAAAATTGTTATCGTTAATCTTGACTTTTGCTTTAACCTTGATCTTGATCTTGACTTTGACTTTCACTTTGACTATGACTTTGACTATGACCTTGACTATGACTATGACTATGACTATGACTATTTCAGCTTACTAGGAATCTTGACCTTGCCCTTGACTTTTCCAACTTACTAGGAATCAATGAGGTTCACAAAATTGTACACAGCTAATATTGATACGCAATTACAATGAAAAGTAGACTCAGAGGACTCAACAAAGCCAGCTGAAGAGACTTGCCACAATTTGAGCACAGCTATCTACTACTTCCTCGAGTGTCAAAGCTGTGTTTTAATGGCTACCAAAGGAAGAAGAATGAGAGTACTTCCTCTTCTTCTTGTCTATTTGTCAAGCTGCATTTTGTTCTTTAACATCAGCCCTGCATACTCGGAGACGGACACAATCTACTTGGGTCAACCTCTCAGAGATTGGGAACAGCTGATTTCAGAAAACCAGGTCTTCAAGTTGCAATTCTTCAACCCTAGGAGAACTTCAAGGAGCCGCTATGTAGGCATATTTTACAACAAGGGGCAAAGAACCGAGAAGGCCGTGTGGATGGCAAACCGAGACAACCCTATCCCCGATGCATCTGGGAACCTGATCATCGACGTTGATGGCCGTTTGAAAATTTCATACAATGGGGGCCGCAATGCCATTGTATTTAATTCTCTTTCGGCAACAAAAAATACAAGTGCTACACTGCTAGATTCAGGCAATTTTGTATTCAGAGAACTCGATTCAAATGGATCTGTAGCGCGGGTTTTGTGGGAAAGCTTTGATTATCCTACCAACACGCTTCTACCAGGAATGAAACTTGGTATCAACATCAAAACTGGGCATAAATGGTCGCTAACTTCTTGGAGACGTGATGAGGTACCTGCCTCAGGGTTTTTTAACTTTGGTGTAGATCCCAATGGTACGGGACAACTTGTAATCTGGCGGCTAGGGAATGTCTACTGGACTAGTGGGCTATGGAGCAACGGGAGCTTTGACAATGTCCGCCAATTGTCCTACGAAGACTACTACAACTTCAGCTATGTCTCCAATGAGAATGAGAAATACCTCAACTACTCGGTGAATGAAAGCAATACTTCACCAATGTTCTACATAGGACCAGATGGTCAAATGAGAGGCGAAGAAGGGATAGCATCTATTGGTGGGTGTCATTTGCGTAACCATCTTGGGTGCAAAATGACCGGGAACTCGCCAGAGTGCAGGAAACCAAACTACTTTTTTCAAGCACAAGCAAAAAGCATAGATGGTGATGGATTCAAGTACGATGAAAGCTACAACTTGAGTGATTCTGATTGCAAGGAAATATGCTGGAACAATTGCTCTTGTGTTGCCTATGGTACTATCAACGGAACCGGATGTGAGATTTGGATTCAAGGAATGAGTTTCGTAGAACATTGGGGCACTTCCCACACGCAGTTTTATTTTCTTGTCACATTTAGTGTTTCGAAAAGAGGTTAGTTCACATCTTTGGAGAAGTTCAAACATAGGCGGATTTTTTTGCGTGTATGATGATTTAATTCACTGTTTGGTAAGGTTTTTTTTTTTCCATAGTAGTTTGAAAAAAATTAAAAAGAAAGCATGTTTGATAACTTAATAATTGCAAACTCGTTTACAAATATATATAAACCTGCATACCTTTGGGGCACGTTTGTTTGGGGGATTGAGTGGTATAATAGGGTGAAATAGCAAGAAAGAGTACTTAGAACCCACCCATAACCTTGTTTGCTTGGTATTTTATGTTTAGTATTATTTTTCGGGTTACAATACTGATTCAATTTGTACAGTAGTCTTTAATCCTTGTACATAACTTTAATAATACCACCAGATGAAATTATTTGTCGGTATAAATCCACCAAAGGTACAAGCAAAAAAAATGACACAAATACCCTCCTGTGTAGAGATCACATATAGAAAATTATTTTAAATTTTTTTCCTTATATTATGCTTAAACATATAGTGTCACCAATTTTTTTTAAAAATTTTTTACTTGTATTATGCTTAAGTGTACGACGTCACTGGTTTTTCTTTTTAAAATTTTTTTAAAAAAATTATTTTAAAATTTTCCTTTATACTATGTTTAAGTGTACAAATTCCCCAATTTTTTTTAACAGTGTCGCAGATTCATAGCATCAAATTTTTTATGTAAATTTTTTACATTATCTGAAATTTTTTGGGTATGGATTGTCATACCTTGTATTATACCAAACATTGGGCAAAACCATTAAACAAACATTGGGCAAAACCATTAAACAAACATTGGGCAAAACCATTAAACAAACATTGGGCAAAACCATTAAACAAACATAGTAATGGAATTGATCATGTTAAAAGTAAAATTGTATATTTGTTATATAAGATGTGATAGAATACATGATTATTTGTGAAACCCACCATAATGAACAAACAAACATGGAAAGAGATTAAAAAATTTTCTATTACCGGTACTAATTTCTATTGATAATGAAGCGAATCATTAGATCAGTGGGTCCCATTTAAAAAAGTCGATGAAACCCACTCATCCAATGGTCTCCTTCATTTGAGATGCAAATTTAAGTTACAAATTTGTGTTATATAGTATTTCCTATTTCTTAATACCATCCATAGCAATACTTAAAACAAACATGCCCTTAATATTATACATGTGATTTAAGCATGGAGGAAAAGTTGTAAACATGTTTAGGATAATCAGTTTGAATGCTCTAACTTATCCTCTGTTCATGAATTACCCAGTGTAAACAGTTCATAAAAGAGATGATTAGAGGGTCACCTACGTTGAATTATCTTCTCAAGCTTTACGTTGAATTTGAGAAGCAACTTCCACCTGTAGCTGAAATAGATGATAGATAGCCAGATGCATAATGAAGAGAGTTAATGTAGGAATAATTATGATATTTCAACAAGAGTCTTTCAATGCAGGAAAGAAGTGGTGGATATGGCTGATCACTGCAGTGGGCGCTTTAGCTGTAATACTCATATCATGCTATCTAGTACTAAGAAAGCTCAAACTAATAGGAAAGCTCAAACAAATAGGTGAGCTCCACAAAGTATCATTCAATTCAGATGACAATTGTTTCTGAAATTTTAATTTCCATGTTTGTCTATTAGGAAAGAGAAAAAGAAGCCAGAAGATGACACTGTCTGAGCTAAGAGGGAATCCAACGCCGGACACCAAATACAGCAAAGCCAATAATCACAAAACAGACGGGAGGATGAGCCACGAATTACACTTTTTCAGCTTTGAAAGCATTGCAGCTGCCACTGACAGTTTCTCAATCACAAATAAGCTAGGAGAGGGTGGCTTTGGACCAGTGTATAAGGTAAACTTTGTGCACTCCTCAGCTTAAAATGATTTGAGAAATCACTCATTGGCAATATTTCAGGGAAGATTACCTGATGGACAAGAGATAGCAATAAAAAGACTTTCAAGAAGTTCAGGTCAAGGACTGGTGGAGTTCAAAAATGAAATTCTTCTAATTTCCAAACTCCAACACACTAATCTTGTTAGGCTAATAGGATGCTGCATTCAAGAGGATGAGAAAATTTTAGTATATGAATTCATGCCCAACAAGAGCTTGGATTTCTTCCTCTTCGGTATGCAATCCTCAACACTTATAACTGCTTCTTTTGGAGGTGAACCATAATCCTGCCATATTTTTAGCAAATGCTCCTACTCAAATCCCCTATGTCTACTGCAAACAGATCCTACAAGAAGAAAACTACTGACATGGACAAACCGCTTCAACATCATTGAAGGAATTGCTCAAGGACTACTTTACCTCCATAAATATTCAAGACTGAGAGTTATTCATAGAGATTTGAAAGCCAGCAACATCTTATTAGATGACAATATGAACCCAAAAATATCAGATTTTGGCTTGGCAAGAATATTTGGGCTTAGTGAATCAGAAGCAAACACAAACAGAGTCGTGGGCACATAGTAAGCAAAAATAAATTGAAAATGTTCATCATCTGAATGTCCACACAAGTTTTAACACTACACTTCTTTTGAATCTTCAGTGGTTACATGTCTCCGGAGTATGCCCTTCAAGGCGTTGTTTCAATGAAGATTGATGTATTCAGCTTTGGAGTTTTACTGTTAGAGATTGTGAGCAGCAAGAAGAACAATAAATGCTATCATTCAGATTATCCACTCAACCTTGTAGGATATGTAAGTTTGCCACTCAAATTCAATCTTTGTATGTCAGTTCGTCATCAGGAAGCATTGATTCACATAAGGTTGCTAACATTGCAAACTATGAAACTTTCTTGTATCAGGCATGGGAACTGTGGCAAGAAGGCACAGTCTTAGAGATAATGGACCTAACATTAGATGAATCATGCGATCATAATAAAGTAATGAGGTGCATACATGTGGGTCTCTTGTGCGTACAAGACAGTGCAATGGACAGACCCTCCATGTCAGATGTTGTTTCCATGCTTACAAATGAAACAATGACTTTACCTGCACCAAAGAAACCAGCATTCTTCATACAAATGAGTGCACCAAAGGTGGAGGAGACATGTGAGAAGTTGGAAAACCAGTCCAACAATGGGCTATCGATTTCAGCGCTTGAAGCCAGATAAAGGTATAATTTATGCATTGATATTATGCATACAAATAAATTCATAAACATATTATACAAAATTTGATGATTTATGGGACTTTGTCTACAAAATAATAGGTTTTTTTTTTGGCCAATACGAAAATAATTGGCTTGAGTTGGGCCTTGTTAATACTCTCAACTCTTCATGACGGGCCTCAAATGTAATGTATCAGATGATGCAAATTCAATGAAGGCATGAATTTACATTTTTATATCAGAATTGTGAAGTTTTTGCAAATGAGGAATTGAAAACGACCAGATTTGAAGGAAAAAGACAACAAGAATCCTAATTGAAAGACGAAATAACAGCATAGATGATTAATAGAGTAAAAAGAATCAGATGCTTTATTAACTCTAAAGTGAGATCTCTCTCTCTCTCTCTATATATAGAGCCGTGACCATCATCAGTGATGTGTCAACACCATGACATCCATAGGGTGGCTCTTAGAAATGGGTTCACCCATTGGTGAAGCTTGATGGTGCCTACATGTGGTTGAATTTTGATAGGTGTGGCTGAATTGGTCTCTTGATTAAGTGGGTTTTTCTTTGATTAGAAGGTGGCGCCACCGCCACTGATCAGGAGAGAAGAGAGAGCTAAAAGGGATTAACAGGGTTAGAGGGTGGACAGAGAACCACCACAATGGCTGGAAACCTGTCCGTGGACTGGTGGCAGAGAGGGAAGGAGAGAAAGAATAGGGATGATGTACTTTGAGTTTTATTTGCTCGAGTCTTCGCATGTCTGAGAGAGAGAGAGAGAGAGAGAGATAGTGGCTTCGTAGAGTTGAACTACTTCTATTTTTGGATGCATATAAACGAATCAAGTCGGTTTTTGTGGTTTTGGCGGAGATTTGGTGGAGTTGCACGGTCGTGGTAGAAGGTAGAGGCATTGGGTAGTGGAGGTGTGCCACAGACCAGAAGGCTTCTTGGATCATTTCAGGGGTAAATATGTAAAGTGACAATTTTTGTGAAGAAAAATGCTATGGTTAAAATTTTACCAAATCTTCTATACCAAATAATGTGGCATAGAATATTAATAAGACACCAGTGATTAGAATTCGAATTTGATTTTAAAAGTCTAATCCGATAATTTAACGGATTTTTATTTTCGTGGTTCATCTCTGAATCCGTTAGTAAACATGGGACGATCCCATAACTTCACATAAGGAATTGAGGCAGATCACGTGGAAAAAATTAAAATATGTGTATGGCAAAAAAAAGCATGGTACTAAATGAACACATGGAAAGGTTAGGGGTACATCATTTTAGACACTGTCAATATGTTCGTTTTAGATGATGACGATCAAATCCCAATTACATTGATTTTCAACTACTATCATAGGAAAACTGTTCAACTCTAGAAACATCAGCAATTCCGATAAAACATAAAAAAGAAGTGTTTTTAGCCTACTTCACCAATTTGTGTAATATTTCTCGAAGAATTTATTGATTTAACACTCTATCATCATCAAAAACTTCACAAATTACCACCATTTAATGTACTAAAATCCATCAATAAAGATAATGAATCAATTTTTTTGCCAAATCCAATGCAAGAGAATAATTTTAGACCACAATATTAGGATTTCTAAAGGAAGTTGGAAAGTCAGCAACTCATACCTTGAAATATCATTGTTCTGTCTTGAAAAAAACCCTATTTTGTGAGCTTGCATGTTTACACAAAGTCACAAATTGGTGAGGCACACCCTGACAATTTATCATACAAAATATAATTAAAAAAGAGCTATCTAACATAATTTATTGTCATGCCACGAAAACAATCCTGTCAACAAGATTTAGTTTTGTCAATCGGCCAACTGAAACTCTAACATGATTAAGACCATGAGGAATGACCAC